ACTTCAAGATTCAAGGCTTTATTGTCATGTGCACAGTAGCTACAGAGTAAATATATGAAAAACTTAAGTCACAGACCCCTGCAAAAATGTAACATGAATATGTATAGGACATAGTAACAAATAAATAAAATAAAGTAATGTATTAAATAAGTCATTTATAAAAAATGTAATGTGGTAAATGTTAGCCTGAACTGAATTGACTGAATTCTTGATGGTATCTTATTACTCATGTGGTTTCCAGGCACTGTTTCACAAACAGTTTTCCGGTCATTGAGCCCTTCCTGACTGAGTTCCCCAACCTGTATGTTGGTTTTACGGCACTGATCACCTACTACAAGGCTGCCGAGGCCCGAGATGCTGTCCGCCAGATCCCTCTGAACCGCATCGTGTTGGAGACAGACGCGCCCTATTTCCTCCCAAGACAGGTACTCTTCGATTGAGGCCCAGCAAAGAAACACTGTTCTAAGGCAATAACTTCAAATGTCCACCAGTTTGCTTTTACAGCTAAACATATCTAAGTTTATCTGATGTGACTGAAGCTAATGTCAGTTTATAAGAATGTACTTTTTATGCACATACTCTTTTTTAATCTTAATTTCAAGAATGAAGTTGTCTATTTTGTTGCTATTGAATAAGTATGATTTCATTTGCTTTTTTGTTGGATTAGAAAAGTGGAAATGGTCAGAATGGTACTGTTTTCAGCATTGTAGTCCTAAACCATCAGGAGTACATTTCGACTACATATGAGTGTGTCTCTCATGCAGGTTAAGAAAGATGTCTGCCAGTTCGCTCATCCTGGGATGGGCATCTACACGCTGCAGGAGCTCAGCCTGCTGAAGGGGGAGGACATGCACACGGTCCTCAGCACCATCCGGAACAACACCGTGCAGCTCTATGGCATATAATCTAAAGATGGTGGTGGATACAAACTAGCAAGAAAGAAGAGACGGATGCAACATTTATTGAGCTGGTTTTATGTGGCTTTTTTGTTTTAGATGATCAGTCTCGTTTTAATCAATCTGAAAAACTCCATAGAAATGCAACTAAAATAAATGAACACTTCTCTGACGGAGACGCTGTATATCATTGATTATCTGATCTAAATTGTATTCTATTGTTTATCAGAAAAATTAATTCCGAAGCGTTTTTTTAGGTTTTGTTGTCTTTGCTGTTTTGAATCCCCTGTTTGTTCACATTTGTTTGGATATTTGTTTTGTGTAGTTTGGGTTTAAACTGTGGGGATGTGTTCAAAGTCTTTGATCCTGTTTTTTTTATGTTAAGCTATGGTTGTTTACTGACTTATATCAGAAAAGTTCTGACTGATGAGCAGATAAAGATGAGAAATATAAGAGAATACTGTATCGTTTGTAACACAGCAACACAAACACGTGTGCTGTTTGCTTTGAGCAAAGCAGATTCTTTGTTGGAGAAAGGAAGCGGCTGCAAGACTGTCCATTAACCATCTTTGATGTCACACTCGTTTGGCCTGAGTGCTTTTTATATTGAGAATGATTAACCTGGATTCTTGTGACATATTCTGGAGTATGCCAACAAAGGACACAAGTAGTTTTAGATGTATCTCTTTTATACCAAGTTAGTGGACCTTTTGTTGAATACACACACTTTTTACCCAGGTTCCTAATAAAGCTTTTTTTAAAGATTTGAAGAGCCTCTCCAGAAAGCAGGCCAGAGAACATTATGTTCAGGTTTCTATATCAGTGACATTGAGAGCTAAAAAGGCTCCACAGATGCAAGCATCGAAGCGAGTGTGCACTCTGTGTTTCATCTTATTCTTCACATTTCTTCTTCTTTCAACATCATTTAAACCTGCGATTGCCGATGTAAAGGGAGTTTCCCCAGCACTATCAGGAATAGTTCACAAATCTTAAACCTGTTTTCCTTTCCTCTGTATGTATGTATCTGTGTGTTAACAAAATAAATAAAGTAAATTTCACCTGCGAGCCGTATCACCTCTACAATAGTTCATCTCATCATGGACGAGAGGCTTTACTGTTAGCTATCTCAGGTGCTAGAGTAGAAGCATGCCGGTTAGTATTTGTTTAGGATCAAAGATACGAGATGGAGACAAACAATTAATTGATGCTTTTATTTATACAGGAGCATGTGGGTCTCTGAAGATGAAAAAGAAGAATGGATTGTGTGTTTTTTTAAAGCTGAAAGACATAAGGTCACTACACGGGTATGAAGATGATTGATTCCTTTACTGACAGATATTAAAACTGTAGAACACAGTATGACTTAATGAAGCGTATCTATGATAGAAATATTTCACCTGATTTTACACATTTGAGATTGGAACCCTTATAAAACCATAGTTTTACCTAAAGTTTGTCAACTTCAATCTTTATATTTGAAGTTTTATATTGTTAAATTATAAACCTTGTCTTTAAAACCAGCTAAGCTTCATGAAGAGTTCATAAAATGAAAGCTGAACCAACTCCATCACTGATACAGATCCTGGGATGTGGTTCAGGACTCCAAAATGATCTTGAAGATCACATTGTAAACAGTTTAAGAAGATTAACATTATATTGAGTTTTTAATCACTCTGACATCAGCAGGTAGTAAAAGACTTAGTAGGACTGTTTGTTAATGTAATTGGCCATAGTCTTGAGTAACAATGTTTTGAAGAGATTTGAGTTTAAGACTACACAAAGATTTGAAGAAAATGAGACCGTCATGTCTATAAATGAATTGCTGAGTGATCACTATCTTATAACGTTTCCATTGAAAGGCTTTGGGACAGCAACGTTTACATTCCTGTGCATGATCTTCAAAGTCGTGATGGTCATTCTGAAAACAAGATGTTCACATATTAAAAAAGGGTTTAATTATTTGTATAAATACTTGCTGAAAGGAACACAACCTTTTTAAGGTAAAACAGAGAAATGAGGCCTACCTGCTGCAGGGTCTGTGTTTCCCAGCAGACGCTGAATGACCTCCTGCAGCGCTGTGCCGTACTCCTCAAAGTCCTGCTCCCTCACAGTGAAGCCAATCTCAAAGGGAGTGTTTATCTACTCAGAGCAGAGGAAGACAATACAGTAAGTGGGATGATTTTGGGAGAGATGGTGTAGTAAAGAATGTGATTTGCCCTCACTGTGATGTGGTTCTCCTCAGCCGGAGGACCCGGCGGCTCCATGAGCTGGCGCCCGACCCTGGAAGACCTCCCTTTGTTCTGTGGTGAGACCAGAGAAAGGTCATGGTTATAATCAATTAAGCTTTTGTATGTTCAGATGCACTCAAGGAGATCACATACTTCTCGGTTGCATCAACATGGATTCATTTAGAGAGAACATTGGTTTAAAATGAGTAAATACAGATTCAAATTAAGCACAGCTATACTGCCCAATTAAAAACTGAATATTGTATTGATTTAAATTCAAATGATATAGTTGAATCAATATGGGGAAGCTTGATAAGCCACATTAAAATGAATAAATAAAATCATTTGTTTCTTACCTGAGGTTTTTGTGAAGGGCTGAGATAGCTGGAGCCTGCGCTGGTCGACTTGCACCACAGAGTCAGAGAACACAACAGAAAGACCATGAAACAGGTGTTTCTTTTCAGAAACATGATGGCATCAAAATCTCAATATGATGATCAGCGGAAATGGTTAAAAGTATCAATCTGATATTGACAGCGACCTTGGTTGTCTTTCCCTTGAAATGACTTTGTTTCGGTGCTTCTGACTTTATACCTTTTTATACCTTTGTATTTTGGTTTAAGAAGGCATTAAATACATACAGTATCAGATACTGCTGTCATATCCTGGCAGCTTTGGACTGTTCAAATGTTTAAATGGATAACAAAATGGGCATTTCTCTGTTGTGACCTGATAGCAGGCCTGCTGATCATCTAATCTGTTTGCGGTCATAGTGAAACAGATAAATGGGACTGATTCAGACCATTATGCATGCCTAAAGGAACATGCCAATATTGAGCTATTATTCCTGGGACAAGAGCAATACACATGGAAAATATTAACAGAAGTATTTACTCAGGCAGACTTTATATCAACACAGTAACACAGTTTGTCAGCATCAGAGCCCATACATGTTTATTTAATAAGCGTAACACTTTTAAACAATCAAAGCTACAAAAAGGTTGTGACTTCCCTGCACTACATAAAAATGTAATATCCTTGCTATGAGTTGCTGTTTTCTCCCAAGGGGAACTTGATCAAAACTAAATATTTTAAACTGTGGACATATTGCGCTTTGCCTTTGACTATTACAGAATCAGATTTTTCCATGCTGAAGGCATGCTCTGTTTTTTTAAAAGAAAAAGTTAGAAAGATATGAACCAGATCATGAAACCCTACCAAAAAGATTGAAACACATCAAAGGACAAGGCAGGAGTTCACACAAAGTTAATAAGAATACAAAATATAAGTAACAGTAATATAAAATAGAATTAGGTTAAACGGTCAACATATAAACATATATAAGTTATTGGGAATATTATAAATATACATGTCTGTGCAAGTGTGAGTCCAAAGTAGAAACATACAGTATTGAAACATAATATACTTAAATCACTTTTTCAGATACTCCTGATTTACTTGCTACTTCTACTGCTCAACAATTCAGAGGGAAATATTGTGCTTTTTACTCCAGTACATTTATTTGACAACTTCAGTTGTTTTGAAGATTTATATAAATAATACAACATATAATCACCCCTTATGTGTAAATGTTAATGCAGGACCTTTACCTGTTAGAGAATAACTCTTCATTGTGGTATTATTACTTTAACTTAATTAAAGGATCTGAACACTTCAACCAGCTCTGCCGATTGAGAGAGAATATTCTTCTGAACAAAGTGTTTACATAGACTGAAGAAAGCAGTGGTGGAAGAAGTACTCAGATCTTGTACTTAAAAGAAGAAATACTCTGTTACAAGTAAAATAACTGCATTCAAAATCAAAACCAGATATATTCATAAAAAAAAAAATTATAATAAAAAAAAAAAAGAAATGGAAAAAAGTAATGGAAAGTGTTTTTCATTATATATATATATATATATATATATATATATATATATATTAAAAAAAACTTGCTCATCTTACTGTATATATGCTGAATTGGCCTAACAACAAGCCACTGTCCTAACAGCAACTTTGGGCTGCATTTCATGCATGAAAGGGATAAATTATTATCGCTCTTTAACTCTGAGACTCATAAGGCAGTAGGCCTAGGCTACTAGATTTAGTAATATTACCATGAATCTAGCCATTTATTTACCATATTTTATTGGAAAACATCTCTGAAACTCTGAAAAAGTCGTATTGCTACAATATGAAGGCCAATTCGACCGGTTGGTTGAGCAGATTTAAAAAATAATAAGTATACCTTTGTTACAAAAATGTTTTGTGCATCAAGTTATATAATTCTGTTCAGTAAGTGCTCTCACACTAAAATATGTCAAAGATTATATGGTTACCTTACAAAAGTTGACCAAAAAGTGATTTCTTCAGGAGTGATTTTTAGCATGCCAACT